CAAAAAAACTCACACAAAAATCCCCCCTGCCCGATCATGTTTCAGTACTGAGTTGGTGTATGTACGGATGCACTGTGCTTTTAGCATTTGGCGACATCTCCATTTTTAAGTTTTAACTTGGGTTAATTTGTTAATTTCATGCCTTGTACTAGTAAAGTTATAAAATTACTACTTTTTATCATATTAAATTAAGTGAATTATGTGGAATTAAGTAGAAAATACAAATGATGGGAAGCCCATTTTCGGAAATTGCTTGTCATAATTTTCCTCTTTAAATTTAACGTGTAAAAATTTTTATTCGCATTATTTTAAGTAAGGTGGCATTTATAGTGGCAAAATGTTGACGTGGCGAGCGACATGTAACAACTAGCACCAAAAATTAACTCGTACCACTTGACACGTCGCACCAATCTTCGGAGCTTATAGGACAAAATGACATATTGGATTTTTAAATGGGTCGGGCCCGGTTCTAAATGGGCTTCGTGGGCCGATCCTAAGTGGGCCGGAGTTTTATGAACTTTTTGTAAGAACTAGTCCGGAATCGGGACCACGAACTAATGGTTCCGGGCTAAGTGGGCCTATGTGGGCCCAATGGTTACTTTCTATTTTTTGTTTTTATTTTTAAATTTTTGTCTAAGGCAATTCCTTCTAAAATTACTTTATATTTGAAATTTTGAATATTCAATAAGAATTTAAGATAATAGAATACATTGAAGATGAAAAAAAATTGTACTTATAATTTGCAAGTTCTTTTTTTGGCAAAATACTCTAAAACCCCCTACACTTGACATGAATTATTAGTTACAACCAACTATCTGTGGTCTTAGTTACCCCCTCAACTTGGCCTTTTGAGAGCCATTACCCCCCTGAACGCTGATGTGACAAAGAGTGTGGGTGCACTCGCATGCCACGTGGATTATTTTTGTATATATGACATTTTTTTGAAAAAAAAATAATATATTTTTACATTTTTAAGTGTGTTACTTTTTTAGATAATTTTTTCAAATATAATTTATAATAAAACTTGGATAGAACTACATTATTTAGGCTAAAAAATTTATTTAGCTAAAAATAATAAAGTTTTAGTTAATCTTTTTTTGAATTTGACCTAAAAATAAAGATTTATACAATTGAAATAAATAGCCAAGGCATCTAAAAAGTTATAAAAAAATACATAGTTTGAAATTAATTATTTTGGCTATAATATTTTATATAGCTCTAAATTATGGTGCTCTAAAAAATAATATTTTTTTTTTACAGATTTTACCTGAAAAAGTAAAAATACAAAATTTTCAATAAATAATCATTGCATCAAAAGAAGAAATAAAAAGGGTGCATATTGCAAGTGATTCGTTTTATTTCTTGTAAAATTACTTTATATTTGAAATTTTGAATATTTTATTAAGAATTTAAGATAATAAAATACAATGAAGATGGAAAAAAATTGCACTTATAATTTTTAAATTCTTTTTTTATTTCAAACTTACAAATTAAAGTTTACATTTAACTACAACTAGATTAACGAAAAAAGTAAAACTAAATTTTTATTGTATAAAATACTTCAAATTAATCTAACAAACTAAAACATTAAGCATAAATATGTCTAATAATTTTAAAATAACAGAAATTATCTCAAATCAACTTAAATACGAATTTCTGGAGAACGCTCAAGACAACTCTTCACATGCCTCCTTAAACAGCCTGTGCCCACCTACTTTAGACGATGATTTAAGACTAGACCACAGTTCTTGCACTTTACTTTGTGAACTTCTTCATTTTCTTCTACCGCCTCAAAGTGTTCCCAAACATATGACCGCACCCTAGAAGTATGGGCATGATTTAACTTGAATTGAGAATTTGAGTTTGAGAAATGAGAGATGAGTGAAGAAATGAAGAAAAGGGGGGTGTATTTATAATTTTTCAAAGGGCTAAATTAGTAATTACTAAAAGTGTTATTTTTTAAAAAACATTTCCCATAAAAGGACTATTCTTGCAATCACTCTTGGATTTTCCCTTATTTTTACTAAATTGCAACAATAAAGTAACCAAAAAAAAAGGAAAAAAAAATTAGACAGAGATTGTTGATTTGGTGAGAAAAATGAAAGAGTGAGGGGGTATTTGTGAGCACGTGATTTTTGCCTTACGAAAAACTGCTCCAAAATAAATCAAAATAAATTTCTTTTACTGTGTAATTTCTGAATTTGCGTGGTGATAAATATTTGTTTATGTCCGTAAAATGTTTGCTTTGTTATAATTAAACAAAATTAAAATAAAAATACATGTTTCGTCTAGGATTTAAGTATGCATTTAATTAAGTTAATTTAAATAAAATTACAAAAATATGCGTTTGTTCTAATTTTAATGTTTCACTATGTGATTATATTTTTGTCTATGTGTTAAATTGTTAAAGGTTGATTAATATTTTGAAGGAGTAATTTTTTTTATAATTGAAGAATTAAATTGAAAATTAAAAAGAGTGGAATTAAATGGGCAAAAACGGGTCTGGGCCAAATTTTCTAAACAAAATCAGGCCCAATCCAAATGACCATGTCCGGTCCAATTCA